TTCTGCAAAAAAGCCCCGATCGCCATTTTCGCAATCGGGGCTTTTTTGCGGAAAACAGTACTGTGCTGTCTACACTGGCTCTTTTGCGCAAAAGTGTTTCGGAAAAAGACTTTTGCCCGAATGGGAGCAGCATAGTATTTCTGGAAAAGCACTGATGATCTTACATGAAATCGTCAGTGCTTTTCTGGAAATTCAAGTGGCCAGTGTAGACAGCTGGGAAGTTTTTCCACAAAAGCAGATGATTTTGCGAAAAAACTTGCCAGTCTAGACACAGCCTAACTGAGTGTTCCTCATTTGCAGGAGACTGGCTTGGGATCCGGGGTATAATTTGCGTAAGTTCTGAGCATGGTGCTGTGAAAAAGAATTAATTAGTATTTATGGAAGTGCTCAGATCCCACAATGATGAATACCACAAAAAAGTTCATGGGGAAAGTAATAAACTGTTTTCAGAGCAAGGTTTGCATGGAGTAAATAAGGCCTTGAACAATAAGAAGAAAGCAAACCCTTGAAGCCTGCTCTTCTAGGCTACGTCTACACTGCAGCGCTATCTCGGGATACCAGCTGTAACCCAAAATAGCTATTCCGCATCTTTTGAGCAATCCCAAAGCATCTTCTGAGTAAGCCCATTCAAAATATAACAGGCTCACTATTCTGACCTCGGGATACCAGATGTAACCCAAAATAGCTATTCCGCATCTTTTGAGCAATCCCAAAGCATCTTCTGAGTAAGCCCATTCAAAATATAACAGGCTCACTATTCTGACATCCCTGTAAACATCATTCCACAAGGACTAAGGAATATTTTGGAATAACAATTTATTTTGAAATAAGTGCTGTGTAGACAGAGCCAAATTTTGAAATAAGCTATTTCATAGTTGACTTGAAATAAGTTATGCGCCCCTAGTGAGCACCATCTATTCATTTCATAGTTGACTTGAAATAAGCTATGCGCCCCTAGTGAGCACCATCTATTGACTGAAGGGGGCACCTATGGAAATAATAATGTGAGCATGTAAAATCTATATCAGAATCAAATACACAGGAGCGGGTCCTATGGAAAAAATAATGTGAACACGTAAAATCTATATCAGAATCAAATACACAGGAGCGGGCCCCATTAAATCCCTCCATTTTCTAAAACTTTAGTGCATGATTTCGCTATCTTAAAAGTGTTCTTTTTATAGAGCTTTTTTGAGTTATGGTAAAACTATTGCAGCCATAGATCTCAATTACCCTTTTGAACAATATTCATATATTTGCTTTCCAAATACTTTACAGAGAAGCCTTCTTATAGGAAACTTAAAAAAAAAAGTTAATGAAAATCAGTTCTCTGTGCTGTAGCCATATTATACTACTCTCAGTCACAGAGATTTTAAATAAAAGAAATTGATTAGGTAATGAGATGCATGTACTCATGTATCCACTTTATTTCTTGAAATTTTTAACCTCCCACCTCCTCCTCACAAGCTCCTCATCTTGGGAGAAAAGGGAAGCTTATGCCATAAACAAAACCTACAAATAAAAGTATCCTAGATTGTTGATCCTGTTGCTAGAAGCCCTCTTTTTAACCCACCAAAAACATCTAGCATAGCCAGCAGCAAGCTTCATCACATTGCCCTACCAGTGTACTCCATTCCTAACCTGGAGCCCTCCTAACCCGGAGTCATAGCTGGCTGACTGTGCATGTTCTTACAGACTTTGGCTACCTCACACAGACTGTCAGGAAGGATGCCAATTATAGTTAGCAATGATGACACAACAATTAGATGTTTTCTTTAATATAAATCTCAGCTCTTGCAGTGAAGATTAGCTGAAAGGTGGTGAATTAAATTTTTTTTTAAAAAGCGGTTGCTAAAAAATTGCTGTCTTTCCAATGACCATTAGGTGCTCGAATTAAATTTTTTTAAAAAAGTGGTTGCTAGAAAATTGCTGTCTTTCCAATGACCATTAGGTGCTTTAAGTTCCCATGGCAACTGGCCAGCTCAACTGGATGGTGTAGAGGGAATATGGACTATGGACACACCTTCACCCTGCCCCCTCCTTGTCTCTCCGTGAACACCTTCCACCCTGCCCCCTCCTTGTCTCTCCGTGATAGCAACATTGAAGGAACTGGGGTACTTTTTATAGCAGGGATGCTAAAACTATAAATTCTTTATGTGAAGGAATCCTTGCATTCAGCTGCTGCCTTATCTCTAGAACATGTAGCTCCAGAGCTACTGGCTGGCAATGCTCCGCACCTGCACGCACGCTCTGCATTCTCCAGACACAGTGCCACTGGCCTCTGGTATGGTGAGCCAAAGCACAGAGGGTTTCGGGTTCCTTCTATTGCTCATGCCTCTGCACAGGGCTAGCCATAATCTCATGTTTAATTCTGACATATTCAAACAGCGATTCTTAATTTAACCCAATGTAATACCCATTTTATTAGTTTAAAGTGGTTTGGGTCATGGTCAAAGTTCTCTTCTGGTGCAAACGGATGCTCCTCCACTGAAATAACTGGATGTAGGCCAGTTTATACAGACAGAGAAATTGGCTCCATATTTACAATTATCTGTCCCTGACTCTTTCATTTTTAAAGCAGTGTCTCAGGTTTTTTAACCTCAAAATATATACTTTCTTCCCTAGAATATGTTGCTTTGATGGAGGACAAGAGACAATTCAAATCAATACAGTCCCGCTTTATGATTAAGATTAAGAAGATTAAGAGTACATTTAGCACATCCATAAAATTCAGCTCACTTTACCACTCAGGGAAAACTCTTTTCAGGAACATTATTATTGACTTCTAACACAATACACAAGAATGGCCACATTTTGTCAGTAATAACCATGTGACTATTTTCCACAAAGACAAATTCAGTTTGGTCCTACATGCTCAGTAAATGCAAGGATTTTAATTTAAAGTATTGATCTTATGTGCAACAATTAAGATTTTTTAAAGTGTGAATTGGGCTTTTGCTATTAGATTACACAAAGCGTTTTTTCCCCTTTAAAAATATTTGCTGCAAATGTCATATGTGAGATTCAAGCAGAGACATTTGAGATTAAGTGTGGGGCAAGGGAAAAGATCCTAGCTGAAAGGAAAAGGTTTTAAGTAACTATAGCAATGGACAAATATAAGGACTATATCAGTTCTATAGAAAGACATGCCTAGCCTGTGTAGGTTTAAGACCAATTTCTTCTCAAATATGAGTTAGCCAAATCTGTCAAGAGGAGCTGGAGCACTTGGTCTTGGTTATGGGCTCCAGGAACAGAGGCTTAGGGGAAGGTCTGTTATGAGTGCAGTAAGGAAGGATGGGGGAGCATGGTCTTCTACTGATTTTGCAGAATAGCTCAGATAAGAACATAACATTTTGAGACAGATGACTGAAACAATTTTTTGCAAGTTCATTCTTTTCAAATAAGAGATGCAGAAATACCTTGTTCCAGATCTCCAGTCTTCCAAAGAGACTTCTATGGTAAAAGCAAGCCAAACCTTGCTCTTAAAAATACAACACAAAAATTGTCTTTGTACATCTTGAAGGGACAAAATAAAGGGCAACCCCCCATATTGTTCCCTTTTTAGTTCCTCTCTACTGTAGTACACTACAAATAGATTGAGGTACTTTATTGTGTTCAAAATTTAAAAACCAACAATCAGTATGGGATTTTCAGATCAGGTAATGTGATTTGGAGTCCAATTCCTATAGTTAGTGAAAAATCTCTTAGCCATCTCAGCTTAAGCAGAAAAAACAGCTGTATACAGTATCACAAATTATTGTCACTTTGCTGTGAAAACACTGCAGTGTGATGAAAATAATCCCTGACACAAACATAGTTGAGAATCTAGCCATTTTGAAAGGCTGTGGAAAGCTCACATAGCATACAGGCATATAACAATTGCCTCTAATACCACTTGACTTACTTTGGTTTGAATGATGAGAGGCAATGGAAGTAAAAGCAGTGGAGTGAAGAGAATCAATAGGAACCTTCGGTAGACCCAAAGCTGACTGAAAATCTTCATTGCTGAGAACTGGTGGCTTAGTTTTCTGGTAGAAACTACCAACAAAAAATCAGATGGCCCATAAATAGTTGACTCTGATTAATATTTCTCTAAACTATCACCTTTAGCCTTTGCAACAGACTGATTAGTCAAACTGAGTTAAAAATAAATCTTACTTTTTATTGTTTTAGTGTCCTTACTAACAGTAGGAAGATAAGATAAGACTGGTGTTCACCAGTAAACCCCGGGCCTTGAAAGGTGCCCTGCATTTGAAGTGCGGTAGTCTTCCCATTACTTTCTTCTCCTCCCTCCCTCCCCCAGCAATATATTGTTGTAACTGAAATAGGGCTTAGTGCATGAGATCATGCGAACTATTGAGAAAGCACTGATCTGAGAGGAACTGATGACACCCTCCCTTCCCCCCACATTCTTATAGGAGACACTTGGCCCATTGTAAGTTCAGGCCCAAGGACAGGTTATATCTCTGCGCTTGACTCTTTATTTATGTTAAGCTCAAGCCTACTCTGTTTTAAAGGGAGCCCAAGAACTAACAAGAACCACAGACAACATGTGATCTAGCAGATGAAAATTCTTTATCTAGCAAAGGCACTTCCAATACAGTTTTACTGTTAGTGAAAAACACAGACTTCATTGGCATGAGCATGACATCCGCTGGCATTTTTGAAAGACATGATTGAGAATAAATGCATAGAAAATGCAAAGTTGAATGGAGTGTGACTCTAACATCCCATGGCCTCGTACATCCTGTGAGAAAAGCACTCCATTCAGAAAAGCTTTGCCAGCTCCCACTGCCACCAATCCATTTTCATGTTCTTGACTTGCTGCACAGAGTGATTGGCAGCTGGAATTTAATAATCCTCAGCCCTTAAATAGCACTTTTCATCCTCAGAGCACCAAGAAAGGTAAATATCATTATCTCCCTTTTACAGGGGAGGAAACAGAGAGCTAGAGGGACTCACTTGAGGCTGCACAGCAAGCTTGTAGCAGAGCCAGGATGTCTCCTGCTTCACTGCTACAATTGGTGCCTCCCGCCAAATGAGGGGTGATGTAAAGAGGAAATGGGATTGTGCTATGCCTTGTTGAGGTGTGAGTTCTCAGAGGTTATGTCTAGACTACAGAGCTTTTCCAGGGTATCTTTGGTATCCCAGAAAAGCTCTGCCGCATTCAAGGAATGCATCCACTTTTCTGAAAAAAAAAAGTCAAAAAAGCGGACGTGTTTTGTTGGCATCCCTGTAAACCTCATTTGACGAGGAAGAAGGGATGCTCTGAAAGAGGGTTTTTTGGTGACATTTGGCCCCCATGGGCCAAATGTTGGAAAAGCCTCTTTCAGAAGAAAAGTAGAAAAAGATACCCAAATTGCAGTTGGCAATTTGAGTATCTTTTTCTGACTTTTCTTTGTAGCGTAGACATAGCCTGAATAGCAGTGGAAGGGACAGAAGCAATAGACATTGGAAAAAGGCCAAGCCATTTCCTAATTTAGCCATTGGAGTGCAGACAGTATTATCCACCTTCCTGTCCATGTATTTAAGCCTTTCTGAACTCACAAGCAATACGACGTCAGAACTGACTCTCTGACCAGCTGCAGGATTTAATATGTATGGACATATATGCATACGAGGGGAATGCAATCTGGTGCACTTTAAACCCATGCTTTTTTTATTTTCCTTTTTTCTTATCCTTCCCCCTCCTCTGCTTCTCACTCCAGCAAAATTCCATTATGAAGAACACCATTAGAGTGCAAAACAATAAAATTAAACAAATAAAAATAAAAACCAACTTGAAGAACTATCAGAAAAAAACAACTCTATAGGATTTTCATAAAATGTGATTTAAGAATCTGGAGCAGGGTTAGGTCTTGGCAGATGAGTGGCTAAAAACATTTAGTTCATATAGGTTTCTATGATCTCTTTAGTTTGATTTTCTTAGCGCTATTAGTGAATTGTAATTGTCCATTTTTTCTTCCAGCTGTTCTAGGACTTCAGTGTCTCCATGGACATTCAAGAGCAGCTGGGAAAGAGATAGCAGCATAGGGGACTGCATTGGCAGCTTTTGAAGAACCAGCTCAGAAATCACATGAAGCCCCATTTACCTCCTGTGACCCTGTGATCCACTTCTCCATACAGTGGGAGAAACCACTTACACTTTATGCTTAGCTATGACCTCTATCTCTGACTGTAAAAAACATGGCTTGCATCCAATATATTCCAGAACAACATTCTTGTAGGATAGTTCATTAACAAAACATTTTGCCCTTTAAAATCTTGCAGCTGGAAGCAAAGTGGAAGCTCTGTGAGATATTAATTACAATACATTTTATAGCTTCAGCGAAGCTGGCTGACTAGGTCATGTCAGAGTATAGTCAGGTCAAATCACCTGTGTATTAACAAAGCCATTTGTCTTTTGGGTGTTTAAACTTCATACAATTAATGGGATATTATATAAGTTTTTTTACTTATCTTTCCTTTCATAATGTAATAGTAAACATCTACAGTGTATATAGCCCCATAACTAAATAACTGAGTCATTAAAGAAACCGTGGGAAATACTAATGAAGGATTTGATCTGAAAAAGTGCTACGTCCTAGGCAAATGGCCATTGTGGTGATGATGTGAGCTCAGAAACTCAAAGTGCATTCTGCATTCAAAGCCCATCTGGGTAGAACCCATGTCAGCTTGTCTTCCATGAGAAAATATTAAGATAGAGTCAATGAAAGATCCTTTATCTCTGGACTGTTTGGATTCTAATGGCAGAATAACTGAAGAGAGAAGACTGAGATTTCCATGTTATTGTGGATAGTCCCAAGAGACTTTTGGGCAACTTGACATTTGGTTACATCTGTGCTACCTTTTGGAATTATAAGCCGTGACTCACATGCACATATATTTTACTAGCTTTAACTTCTCAATAACTCTCCTTTCTTTTTCTTAGCTAATAATCTTCTCGTTAGTTTACTACAGCATTGACTGCCAACATTGTCTTATAGATCTGGATTTGCAAGTGATCTGGGGGTAAGTGACTAGCCTCTTGGGACAGAGAAAAACGTAACATGGTGTGATTTTTAGTTTTAGTAACCTTTTAATCACAAAGTCCAGGTTGTCTTGGTGGCAAAATGAGCTGGAGAGAGTCTGTGGCTCCATGGTGAGACTAACATAGTGAATGAGGAATTCATGTTCACAAATAGAAAGTTGGGAATAATTTAAAAAGGGCTAGAGTATAAGATAGAGAATATCTTAGTGCCTCTATATAAATCCATGACACACATCTTGAATACTGTGTGTAGATGTGATAGCCTCATTTAAAAAGAGATATTTTGGCATTGGAAAAAGTTCAGAAAAGGGCAATAAGAATGATTAGGGGTTTGGAACGGAGATTAAAAATCCCGGGACTTGTCTTAGAAAAGAGGAGACTAAGGGGGGGGGCTATGATAGAGGTCTATAAAATCATGACTGGTGTAGAGCAAGTGAATAAGGAAAAGTTATTTATTTGTTCCCATAACACAAGAACTAGGGGCCACCAAATGAAATTAATAGGTAGCAATATGGCCATTCTTATACTCACATTTGATACTGACTTGATGAAATCCAGTTCTGTAACATATCACAAGTTGAGGGTATCTGCCCTTGTTTTCTGAGAGTCTGTCCTGAAGCAGGCACTCACGGTTGTGAGCTACTCCAAACAGTGTTACAACTCATAAGAAAAGCCATATCGGATCAGATCATAGGTTCATCTAGGCCAATATCCTATCTTCTGACAGTAACCAATGCCAGGGGCCCCAGAGGAAATGAACAGAACAGGTAATCTCAAGTGAACTATTCCCTGTTGTCCATTCCCAGCTTCTGACAAACAGAGGCTAGGGACACCTTTTCTGCCCATCGTGGCTAATAGCCGTTGATGGACTTAACCTCTGTGAATGTATCTAGTTCTTTTTTTAACCCTGTAAAAGTCCTCATCTTCACAACATTGTCTGACAGGGAAAATACCACAGGTTGACCGTGTGAAAAAATACTTCCTTTCCCAATCTTATTAATCTTTAGAACAGGTGTTCCATACTGTTAACCATTATTGTTGCCCTTTCTGAATCTTTTCCAATCCCCAAATATCTTTTTTGAGATGAGGTGAGCACATCTACACACAGCATTCAAGATGTGGGTACACTATGGATTTATGTAGGGGCAATAACATATTCTTTTTCCCTTTTTTAATGATTTATAACATTGTTTGCTTTTTTGACTGCTGCTGCACACTGAAAGGATGTTTTCAGAGAACTATCCACATTGACTCCAAGAGCTCTCTCTTGAGTGGTAACTGCTAATTTAGTCCCTATCATTTTGTTCACATAGCTGGGATTAGGGTTTCCAATGTGCATTACTTTGTGTTTATCAAAATTAAAATTCATCTGACATTTTGTTGCCCAGTCACCTAGTTTTGTGAGATCCTTTTGAAGACCTTCACAGTATTAACTATCTTGAGCAGTTTTGTATCAGCTGCAAATTTTAGCACCTCACTGTTGATCCCTTTCCCCAGATCATTTATAAATATGTTGAACAGGACTGTATGGACCCCTGGGAGACATCACTAGATTATTTTCTTCATTTAGAATACTGCTGACTATTTGTTCCTACCCTTTTTAATTTACACACACATGGACTCCCCCTAATGTCTGGGTGATACCACCATGGTTGAAGGCTAAATGTATATCTGACCCCCTTTGTTAGTCTGAGCGCACTTCCCTGTCAGAGCTCAGGTCTTAAGCCTTCATATCTCTGGGTGGGATTCATGTGATTCTCCAGCTATTAAGTTATAGGCCGCCTGTCCACCAACTGTGATTACTTAGCAAGCCCAGCTAGATTTCACCACATGATGAAGTCTGTTCCCTCATGGGGACATTCTAACACCATTGTTGCTCATCCCAAGTTTCCAGAATGATAGGATCCCTCCACCTCATGCTGGTTCTCTACACCAGAAGTTACAGTCCTACCATTGGCATACCGTGGCAATACTGAGATTTACCATATTTGTACCCTGAGAGCTGCATGGGTTTGTCTCATTCATCTTCAATGTGTTAGAAATTCAGCCTAAATTCCATCCAGCATATAGCCAGTTACTTACTCCACTATATAACTATTTGTCGCACAATAAGAAGCAGTTGAAGAAACAGATCATGGTCTCATATTTTCCATCCAGTTTAGCCACGAGGGGCAAAGGAATCAGGAACTGCCATCAGAAGATGTTTAATTGTGAGGGACAGCATCAATACCACATAGGAAATTGGTTTCTAGAACATCTCCCTGTCTGTACAGAAACCTGGGATACACAAGACAAATTCAGAGTGATAACAACAGTGGCAAAGTGGATGCAGGTATACTGAACATTAAATCCATGTGCAGCACCAGCATAATTTGGACACTTGCTATTTTAATAGCAGGATGGCCATACAGGCTGGCTACGTCTACACTGGCCCCAAATTCCGGAAAAGGGATGCAAAGCAGGTAAGTCAGAATAGGGAAATCCGCGGGGGATTTAAATATCCCCCGCAGATTTAAATACACATGTCCGCCGCTTTTTTTCCGGCTTGGGGAAAAGCCGTAAAAAAGTGTCTAGACTGGTGCGATCCTCTGGAATAAAGCCCTTTTCCGGAGGATCTTTTATTCCTACTCAACCTATGGTGCCTAGGCATTGCAGTGCACGTCATAAGTAACACTGCTGTAGACATTGCCTGATTATATGTCTAAGAATACTTGATCGCTACTAATTCGTAGGCCGCAAGTGACCAGTCATGAGAAATGTTTATAGTGTTGTATGCAACAGCTATTTTAATAGCAGGGAGGCCATACAGGCTATGTCTATGCTGATGCGCATACTTGAGTACTGGACCATGTACATGATCAGATGTGCCTGTAAGGAGAGCACATCTGATCATGTACATAGTCCAGTACTCAAGTATGCGCATCAGCATAGACATAGCCTGTATGGCCTCCCTGCTATTAAAATAGCTGTTGCATACAACACTATAAACATTTCTCATGACTGGTCACTTGCGGCCTACGAATTAGTAGCGATCAAGTATTCTTAGACATATAATCAGGCAATGTCTACAGCAGTGTTACTTATGACGTGCACTGCAATGCCTAGGCACCATAGGTTGACAAACACGGATCATTTGAACCCTTGATATTTTTTAGATTAAATCCTGAACACTATTGCTCCTCCTGTGTGACAATGTATCTAATAGCGTTGTTATTGCAAGATGCTTACCCAGCTTCTTATGGATGTACTTACCCGTTGCGATCAAATCCCCCTCACTTTATTCATACAGCTCTCATTGTTTTCCATGGCTGTTTACATTAGAAAAGAAAGCAGCGTTAAGACCTTTATGATTTTGGGTTTGTTTTTCGTACATCTCCTTTTCTAAAGTTGTGAGTTGCTTGAGAGTGTTGTTAAAAAGCGCATGGGCACACGTCCCATGCTGTGACTCATCGATGTGAGATTCGGGGATTCCCACTTGGCTCTTCTAGCCATTCCTTGCTCAGCAGGCTTCCCTACAACTCTCTTTCTGGGCTGCCCTGGATGCAGCATTCTCCACGGCTCTCATTCTAGGGGCTGTATTGAAGAATCTTTTAATATGTTTCTCTTTTGCCCTTCTTCTAGATATAGAAGGCCATTTGCCTTGGGTAAGGGGCTCCTCCTGTAGGTAAATCCTGGAAAACTTTCCAGGTTGCGCTGCAAGAAAGCCTTCCTACTCCCTCCTTGATGGTCCTGCACCCCATCAAGGTCTAAGCAACCAAGTATATGTCACACAAGGCACTATTTCTGGGCTGCCATCAGGAGACTCTAGGTCATTAGACTCGAGCACAGACCAGTGTATGGACTTCTAACCCCTTACAAGTTCAGATCAACCTATAACATTTTTCCTAGAATGTGATTTTCACTGTTTATTAATCATTATTATTTGTTAATATTGACCATATACTGGTGCTCTGTGAATACAAGAGTCCCTTATGAGCTAAGACTTTTATCCTACATTAGTGGACCGTTACAGCAGTGCAGATGCCTCTTATGGTGAAGGTGATTGCCTTCAGGCCAAAGTGTCTGCCTACATATGTAGATGTGATTGTAGAATCAGTGCCTGAACTTTTTATGGCATAAACAATCTAAGATGTTCAGTCTTGTACCAATTGGTGCAAGTTTGTTCTGTGTATAATGAGATACACACTTTTGTGGAGTATATATTAACTTGTATGCCTTCCTCCATTTTTATCAGCTCAGAGTGCTAATAATGTTTGTTGTTCACTTAGGAAAAGTCTTCAATAAACTTTTGTTTGTAATTTTGTTTTTTCCAAATGGTACATAATTTTGCAGCAAAACTTGAACTACAAGAATGTAAAATACAAAAATCAGAATCCAGAGTCATCCTAATCAAACACCTTTCTGTGCTACTAATTTTTCAAAGTAGCATATGCACACTATAGAGAAGCCTCAAAATTAGTCTGAGACAGGCTCCATTAATGTGGACACGCTACCTCGACTTAGAGCTCCAGGAAGCACTGGGGAGTAATTCCTTTGAATGATTCTGGGGAGCAGTTATTTCAAAATAGCAGCAGTGGAGAGTCCACATGATCTCTCTTTCAAAATAACTATTTCTAAAGAAGTGTTATTCCTCGTGGACAGCAAGAGTTATTATTTTGAAATAATCAGCCCATTATTTTGAAAGAACAGGCTTGGTAGTGTGGCTGCTCCACTTGATATTTAGAAATATGGTGACTTATTTCAAAATAACTCCCTAGTGTAGACCAGGGCTTTGAAATCATCTACGGCTACAATCTTATTGGATATCAGAAAATGCTTCTGATTGTATAGAATGGCACTATTTATTCTAGAAAGCTGTTTGTTTGTGGGATCTTCTTCATTAAAGTGAAAGCTGTTTTGTACAATCATCCATCAACAAGAATGTGAGTCAGTATCATTATATAAGATAAATGTCTTTAAGAGATGAATCACCAAAAAGGGGAATTTACAGCATCTCCGTCATATTTTCTTGTTACTGTAAGAGCCCTTAACCATTGCAATTATTTCAAGTGATCATAGTTAATTTTAGGCCGCATAAGCCATAGTTATAGGCAGCATCAATTATGGCATCATAATGACAAGCTAAGGTTCATGATTAATTCAAATATATCCATATTGTCTTTGTCTGAGTTGTTAGATCAATTTGTGTTATGTCAAGATACAATATTAATTGGAGAAAACTCTGAGCTAATACCTTAGAATGATTTATATTCAGCACAATCAGTTAATCAGCTTCTTCTCTTGGAAACCCATAGGGATAAAGAATCTTGGGGAAGAATACTCAATTGATCAAAGTGAAACAGCAAAATTGAATCCAGGTAACAGCACTCCATCAAATGAATTATTTAAAAAGTTTCAGCAAATGAGTCTCACTATGTATTTCTTTATATCTTTCTTGATGGGTAAATTAGTAACACTAAGACCACGTCTACACTTACCTATACTTATTGATGCTCTGGAGGTTGGTCTTCTGGCATTTGATTTAGCAGGTCTAGTAAATCGAAGACCCCCATCTGCACAGTACCCCTACTCCTTGAGAGGAGTAAGGGAAGTCAACTGTAGAGTTTTTCCCATCAACTTCCCACTGTGGGGATGGCACCAAAGTTTGAATCAAGGAACATTAACCACAGCTACACAATTAACTTACCTGGAGTAGTGTATCTTAATTTGAACTTCTCCCCCTGTGTAGACCTGGCCTAACACATTGGTAGTTCAAGTTTAAGTTACCGGTAGTACTTTTCAGACTTATGCTGGGGAACTTTTCATACAATTCCTATTGAAAGTAATGGGAATTGTGTAGCTGAAATCTTCTAGTTAGATTTGAAAATCTCAGTTTGTGTGCATGTGTGTGCACATATGTGTGTGTGTGGTGACCAACTAAAAAATTCTTTAAGAGTGGTTACATTGCTAATAAAATTCCTTTGGAACATTCCAAGGAACTGAGTAGGAAGTTTGAAATCTATATATTAAAGGAATTAACTTGATATTTTTGAAAATTGCCAGATTATTAACACACAGAATATTGTGGCTTCTATTGTCAGTATTCCTGCCACACTAATTGAGTGAAAAACTTGATTGTGAAGGGTAAATTCTACTTGCTAAAAATCATTTGCACAGATTATATTTTCTAATTTCTACAAAAAAGAGTTGAAGGAGAGATCAATTGGGGGAAAAAAACCTTGTGAAATACTTTTCCAAATTACCAATGCTTAAGTGATGAAAATCAGGCAATGTAAAATAACCTCATCTTCACAGAGTTAAACCAAACTTATTAACACATAGGCTGTAGTTAATTTGCATGACTAGAATATTTCCAACCAATCATCTTATGATAAGTCTCACTAGATTCTGGAGCAAATCCATCGAAGTGCAGTAACAAGCAATGAACAATTTTTCATGTCAAAATCAGGCATGATTTTTCTTGTTTCCATCATATTTTCCATGAGTGCAGACTCATAACAAAATAACTTGTTCCCATCAAAATTATTGATTAACAACTGTGGATAATAACGCTTCTGCAGATTCAGACTAACACGGCTACCCCTCTGATACTTAACTGTGGATAATGTTACTTTTCTTTTAAGACAGACTAGTAATAATGATCAATGTGTTGTAGGTTCCACAATACATTTAACAATACAATAGAAATACAGAGGAACTACTTGATTTTTAATACTTCCTTTAAAAATGGGCATGCTGTGCTGTTTTCAGCTCCAGAGCTAGGGCACTCCAATTTTTAGGGACTCACAGAGATTTTATTTGAAACATTTGAGTTTGGATCCAGGTTTATATTTTAATAAGCCTAGAAAGCCAGGGTTTCTAGTTCAGGATTTTGCATTTGGATCCATCCTGAATTCTCTTTTACAAATCATGCCTTTCAGTTTAAAAGGAAACAGTAAATCAATATTGTAAGACTATGCAGCCTTTAGAGAAGATTCAGTGTCCTTCTTAATTATATATGAGGGCTTGTAAAAATCACAGAAAGCTGCTGTTACTTCTGTAAGAATGCTTTTGAGCCTGTTCTTAGGGTGTTAAGAAGTCATTCTATAAAGACATTTTCTGTACATTTCTCACCTTCAGCACTTGTTCATTTAGAGACTCATCCTGCACTCCTTTGAAGTCAATAGAAGCCATGAGTGCACCGCAGGCTTTTAATTAATAACAAAGGGTATGTCTACACTACCCCGCTAGTTCGAACTAGCGGGGTAGTGTAGACATACCCCAACTCTCATTCTCACGCCCCCATTTTCCTAATCTCCTGTCCTATAGCCCATCTCCAAGGCCCTGCCCTGACTCCTTCACCCCCACACAACGTGCACCCTGCCCTGAAGGACCTAGGCAATGCTGGCTAAGTCTTATAATCCAAAATATTTTTTTTAGGTTTTTCCTTAACTAAAATCATAAAACCTGACATGCATACATTGGAATATCTAGTGGTTTCTCAAGATACAGGATTACTAAATGGAAAAAGGAAAAGGCAGTTCTGTTTAGGAGCTTATCCTGTTTAGCATGTCATATTTGTGTTGCATATATACAGACATTAAAATAATCTTAAATCATAGATTCTCCTGGGGAATGGAATGTAACTGTACTACACAATCTAGACCAGTGCTTTTCAACCAGTGGTGTACCTTAGGGATACTTGAGAGAAGTCTGGGGCTGGCAGAGGAGGGGAGTACGTCAACAAAACTGAAATTTGGAGAAAACTGAATTTTTGTTTTAAGTTTTACAGCGTTTGATTATTTTGGTACTTTTTACACCCAAAAATTTAATTGCCCACCCAGCCAAGATTAAGTTGTTTAAACAAATGTGTTGCAATGATAGAAAAAAAAACCTGTAGGTACTGGGCGTCCTTTTTTTTTTTTTTTTTTTTTTTTTTTTAAAAGGGTTTTTTTAAAAAAAAAGTTGAAAACGCTAATCTAGACTATAGCAGTTGGGGAATTAATTTCTCCTGAGGAGCTGGGGTTGTAGAAGCATAGTAGTCATTATGGCTCCTGATTTAGAAGAGGGTAGGGATGGCAAAGACATTGCTGCAGAGATTCTATACAATTGAAGAGCCTGTTACCTAAAGGAAGTCTTCAGGTGTTCAGATTGTCTGGGGTTAAATATGCTTTATGCTTAAGGAAAATTGCACAAAGCAGACTTCACACACCAGACAATCAAGTATTGTCCTTTGTAAAACTAATTGAATTATGTAGTTCCTATTGTATGCAAGATCTGATTTGTGTGTTTCACTTTCTCCACAAAATATGAAAAGATGAAGAAAAAGAACAATTTCCCCATCTTTTGGAGGAGATCTGTATAAAGCAAAGAGAATAAAGTACAAAGGCCTGGTATTAGCCATTAGG